GACTACATCGTGAGACAAACGATAGTACACTTTATTATTGCATCTACCACGATGAATAACAACAACCTTTTCCGCGAAACAGAACGATTTTTATTTTGTCTTTGTCCGAGTTTCGTAAACCGAGAATACACTCTTTTTTTATTTATAAGTATATTGTTTATTTCCAGCTCAGGTTGAATTTTCGTATTTGCCTGCCGATTTTAGGCTGAAAATATTATTTTGAATATTCGTAGATTACAGCTTATGACAGCTTATGACATTTCCGTTTTTATACTGATTGACTTTGACGGCGTTGAAGTAATTTTGGGAACAGAGTGTGGGCATTTTAAAACTTGATATGACACACATAACTTCCAGCAGAAATGTTACTAGCATCGAACATATGGCTGGTGCTGTTTTGGTTGTTTTTTGGCCAGTTCTGCCGTTTACAGAAAGGAATGTTACACCGCTTCGTTAAAAACATGTAATTGTAATGTCTTAACAAATTTTCAACACAAAATTATATTCTTTTCAAAATCTCAGCCTCGAGCTTACTTTTAAAATAACCTTAACATTTCGCTATTTCAGCCGCGATATTCTTATAAAACTAATATTTAAGAAATAGAAAACATATACCGTGTTTCTATCGAGTTATAGAAACACGAGTGGAAGTTTGGGAGAACGAGACTGCTCTGCGGCTCGTGTTTCCACAGCTTTTTCGAGTTCTCCCAAATTTTCACGAGTGTTTCTATAACTCGATAGAAACACGGAGAACATGTTTTCTACTTCTTTTAGAAAACACCGCGACGAAAACAAAGGAAAACAACTTGTTAACTTTGATTATCAAAATGTAAATTTTCATTGCTCGCGCCATCAATACGGCGACAGCTCGTGCTAGTTCTGTTTTTCCATCGAGTTATAGAAACACGATTTTTAACCAATCAGCACGCGTATTTTCTTAGTACTGTTTTCTAAATTCTTATAAAAAAGAAAGAGTGTACAACGCGTGTCCACAACGCTTTATTTGAGAGAAATGATTTACTAAGTCATTCCAATTAAGAAATACACACACAGATGCAATCATAGCAAAGAAGTAGCTCCAGAAATTGAACATGAAATATGTAATTGTAAGTGAGGTTTTATTCGTCTCAGGCCTTTCCGTATGCGCTTGATTTAGTCGATGTATTGAACTGTTCCCTTATTGTAGTAGACTGGGTGATGAGAACTGAATTAACTAAACTAGCCTTTTGAGGAACTAGGCATCCGAAAATTTTATTTGCTTTAATAAACGGTATTATTTTGCAAAGGTACCTCTTGCAATAAAGGCGTTCGTTTATTTTGTGTTTCGTATGTAAACTAATTGTAAATAATTGCATAGACGGCTTAATATATTGACCTATTAGACGGCCGTAACGCCATAGTCGTTACAAAGAAGTGTATATTTATAGTCGTTACAAAGAAGTGTCGATTTAAAGTCAACTGCATGGATCGAAAACGCATAGAAGACTCATAAAAACACAGAAAAGTCAAGTATTAACATTTTCACTCCACGGGTTAGAACAGTGCTAGAATGGTTAAAATTATTTCTTGATAATTGCAAATATTCTTATAAAATGAGTGAATTATCTTATTATATTAACAAGGAAGCATCTAGCGCTTTTGTTTGTTAATAGTCTCCCCTTACCTGTTGTTCTCTTGACAGCTTGGTCCTTTTTAATATCCACTGTTGAAG